AAAAATTCTTTAAAATGATATGTCAGGATGTATAGAGTCGTATCTGAAATTTTGAAGTTGAACTAGGCCTGAGGTACCCTGTCTAATTTTTCTGCAAAAGAAGGTAAACATTTGAAACTAGACTAAACAATATTAAAACTTTTTTTTTTATAGCGTCATTGGTACAAGAGAAATTCAGCCGGGCCATCTAAAAAGGACACACACACTCTGTACACTATAATATTTCTAGGTGTGTTAGTGACAAAAATTTATGGAAATTGTTTGAGTTAGTAAGTCAAAATGAATGAATGAGAATATATAACAGTGTGATTGTGGGGAGAATGTTCATGCAACTGACCGGCACTGGTTGCATGTATAAGTGTAAGATGGAGGTGAGTGTTTAAGACTGGAGGAATTAATATGTTGTGTGTGAGTTTGTACGAGGTAAAATAAGTGAACGTTCTAATTACATTCGTAGTAAAGTGACAACTTATCAAATCCATCAATTAATTCAAATTAATTATAAATTTAATTGCTGACGGTAATTACGGTGACTACTATTGGTAACATTTGTAAAAGTAGGCTAATCAATTCGGCGAATCATTAATAAATAACAATAGACGAGGTAAGCACACTATAGTGTCATCATTAATAAATGTTAGGTACGAGAATACCGTGATAATCATTAAATGTAGAATAAGCTACATTATAGATAGCGATATGATCAATTGAAGTTGAGAATAAACAGTTCATGATTGTTTACCAGATAAGCTTTGTCCTGCGTAACTAAAATATAAGTCCAGATATATAAACAGATAATCTACAATTAAATTATTTTAAAACTGGTCAGTCTGAGATTGCGAAGGATATTCCAAATAATTATCTATTATTATATAATTGCACATGTTCCTCAACCTCCTCTTTTTGACTGCATTTTGGATGAATCTTTTACGTTAAATGAATTGAAAAATGAAAAAAACTAAGGAGCTCACCTATTCTTCGTGGGACGGGTTACAGTATCGCTCAAGACTTTCCAGCATCGATCAGACAGAAAAGATTTAGCCTTCTTCGCGTTCGAGGCGAAATACGAAGACGTATTCCAGGGGCTAAATGTCTCCTGCGCTCTGACAAACTGTTATTCCAAAACAAGTGCTATTTTTGGGATGAGACTTCTGGACTCTGTTCGAAAGATTCTGGAAAACCACGGAATGCCACAGAATACTGGAAGTTGGCGAACCACTTTAAACACAGGTCTCCTTCCAAAAGCAGCAATATCTCGATGAGTTCCTGGGTAACCCACTTTAAAAATTTACTTAACCCCCCCTTGATCACCTTTGCACATGTTTCTCAACCCCCTCTTTTTGACTGCATTTTAGATGAATCTTTTACGTTAAATGAATTGAAAAATGTTGTCTCTAGTTTAAAAAATAATAAAGCTCCGGGTCCTGATGGCATTAGCTACGAGTTCTATAAATTTGCAACCGACTGTTTTCTTGAAAAATTATTATCTTTTTATAACTTCGTATTTAACACTGGTGATGTCCCGTCTTCCTTCGGGAGGTCAATTATTTTTCCTTTACACAAACAGGGTGACGTTAATGATGTTAACAACTTCCGAGGTATTTCTTGTATCAATGCATGTGCTAACATTTTTTCAAATCTTCTTCTTCAACGCCTCGAGAAATTTGTCAAAAGCAATAGCCTCCTAAGTGAGTTCCAGGGCGGGTTCAGGAAAGGTTACTCATCCATAGATAATATCTTCACATTAACCAACATTATTAATTAACACTTAAACAAAAATAAGAAAGTATATGCCTTTTTCGTGGATCTTAAGGCTGCCTTTGACTGTGTGGATAGGAATGCGCTTATACTTAAAACTCAGCAACCTTGCTTTCTCAATAAAAATTCTTTCAATATTGAAATCCTTATTTAAACAATCCTGCTCTGCAGTCGTTGGGGAGGGTATCTCGGGATATTTGGAGGTGCGCTCAGGGGTTAGACAGGGATGTAACTTGAGTCCTTTATTATTCTCCCTTTTCCTCGACGATCTCCCGGATTGTCTTGAATACGGTATACGCTACGGAAATATTGAAATAAAGATTCTTTTGTACGCGGACGATATTGTGATTCTGTCAGACTCACCGGTTACCCTGCAAAAAAATACTAATGCCTTAGAGACTTACTGTAATAAATGGAATCTTTCGGTCAACCTAAACAAATCCAAAATTATGGTTTTTCGTAGGAGAGGCAGGCTTGCGGCTAATGAACGCTGGTACTTTAAGGGCTCTCGCATTGAAACAGTCAATGAGTATAAATATTTGGGCCTAATTCTCACTCCTAAACTTTCACTCAATGTTCATCTCAAGCGAAAAACTCATATTGCAAAATATGCAATGAATTCAATTTGGGCTAAATTCACTTCCAATAATCTTGTCCCGGTGTGCAGCAAATACAGGCTGTTTTTGGCTGTTTGCCGCTCGATTGTGTCCTACGCTNTCACTCCGTCAAACAAGTATCCTTAACAATTCCTTATAATCTCACAAATCCTCAACAGGGGAGGTTGCCTTAAAATTGCATTTTTGCATTAAATTACATCTTTCTAATACGTCTGTTTGTCCCAAATAAAAACAAATGGTCGATAAATCCAGAAAATGACGGTCGTTTACAATATGAAATGTATTAAACTTAAAAAAAAAAAAAAAAAAAAAAAACCTGAACTGAATAAATACTTCAATACTTCATAGAGAAAAATAAATAATGTATAAAAAGAAATGTTTTTTGTACTATTCAAAACAGCACTCCATAAATTAATATAAAATGCTCGTATAATGTATCATTACTGCTATTGTAATTTACCTCTTAAAATTCTACAGGAAGACGGTGAAAACCATGTAAAATAAGCTTTTTATTGTTTTTAAAAATTATTTATGGAGTAATGAATATTTACAAATAAAGCTTATTATCGATCTATTTCTCTAAACCTCTACTACTTTACATCATCTCTGCTTTGATAAAGTTTTCGTTCTCACACGTTTGAATTCTCATCTCAATTCTTTTTCCACAGTGATAAACCCGATGGCTTTCTTATCAACAAGATCGAAAAGAAAAAAAGAAGAAGGGAAATCCTTTGAGAAATGCAAATGCCAACATTATCTAAAGTCCAGTAAAAGCCTTAAAGGTCGCATGCTAAGAAAGGAAGTCGAGAAACTGTGTCGTAGATAACATGCCAGCTCATGCCCGTTTCTATACTTAACGGTTGTTTTTAATAAATTAATTATACTTTTTATCTAAGGTTTTGGTTGAGATGGAAAGTCTAGTGTCACGAGTTTTGAGAATTTTATAATTATTAAATTTTTTCAACCATTAGAAAGGATTTTAGAAACGGTTCAATACGTTTTTTAAAACATAGATAAGTAAGTGCATTAGTCAATACAAATATTCTGTACAATAAAATAAAGTTGATTTTGTTAACACCTTTTTTTTGTGGCAAATTTGCCATTAAAATCTGAACGATTAACTTGTAATTTAACGTTTAGTTAAAAAAAAAGGAAGAAAGCAAACTAGTTTGTCTTTACCTGGGAGAAATTCTCCGATAATGGCATAATTTTAACAATATTTGTTACAATAAAGTTTTTCATTTAAAACCATGCATGCCATTTTTCAGAAAATAAGATTGAACTACTAATAATAAAAAAATGAAATAAGACAAACGCAATTTTTTTGTTTTGAAATGGCGATATAAAAGTAATTTTGTAATAAAATTTCTTGACTTTACACAAAGTTTAGGCCGATAGGAAAAAGTTATATGGTTTTTTTTTCACTAAAGATGAAACAGAAACATGAATTTAGAGCACGTTCAAATAATTTTGACTGTTGCTTGTAGGATAATAAAAAAAAACGGAAAGAGGTAGAAAAAGCGCCAGCAGTCATCCCATCAAAAGATGAGGATATGTGGTCCACAACGCCAAGCACATGCTGAGCGGAGGCATTTTGAGAATGAAAGCCGAACTGGTGATTTGGGAGAAGGTTCAAGGAGTTTATTGTAAGGATCAGTTGTTTTAAAGAACAGTATTCTTAATACTAGAGTCTGTATAAGAATTTTAATAACAGTATTAGTAAAAGTGTTTTATGAACTTTGAGTTGAAATAAATTCTGGTTAATTTTTTTAATTATTACATCATAAAAGTAAAGAAAGCTCAGGATGGAGCCCCGAGGACCTTATCGGTTTACTGGCAACCACGTGGAGTGGAAATTGCATTTTTTTTCAATGATCGCCTGCTTCCGTCCCGACAGGATAGACCGAAACCAATATACCTCGAAGCTGGAGAAACAAGGGAAGCTATATTTTGAAGAAGGTGGTAAACCGAATGGCGTTGCTAAAATCGAAAAGCACAAACAACAACCACGCCACCATCCATACACCTTCGGACGTCATCATTCACTTAACCAATACTGTTTGAGTGGTAAAATGTCTCTCGAATTCTCACTGCATCGGATTTAGTTGGTTACTGCCTTCTTGGATCTGGTTTGTGAACTATACGCTAAGCCCCAGCTTTGATGTAGAGCAGAAAATTGATATTTTCTTTAACCAGAGGTGACAGCGGGATTTCTAACTTTATTGATAGATTTTAAGGTACTACTTAGCAAATTTCCACTCAGAGGGAAAGATGGACTGCCGTAATGAGTGGTTATTTATATTAAGTATCGGTACAAAACCAGCAGGTATCTATTAAAGCATACGACTGGTTATTTTATCAAATGCAAAGTGAATGATTTTTTTAGAATTTTTAAAAGAATTAAATGAATTATCTGGTGTAATACGTATGACGTAAGAGATTTTCGCTACATACAGTACATTTTAAGCCAGCACGTACGTTTAGAAATATCAATGAAATTTATATTGAAATATTTTATTAATTATCATTCAGTTCTTTTAAAAAAACACCTTTCTAATTAAATAAAAATGAAATAATTCTCGTTAAAATAACTAGATACATTAAAGTCAATACATTCTGGCTTACCTTCACTAAGATAATTGTAAGTATCCCTCCTGCAGCTATGATTAACGCCCATTTGGCCCATTTTGGCAAGTCCATTTTCTGTAGAAAAAATCCAATATTAGAACTACTAAAATAAAAATAAAATATACACTATTTAACTACAAAATCCAGGTATTGTCGCCATGTGTTATTGTCATTATTACGATCCCTTTCGACAAATTCCTTCGCGTTTCATCGATTACAGCAATTAGAGATATTCGAATAAGGAGTAACAAAAATGGCCTTAGAGCAACGAGAACCAATCAAGAGTTTCAGATTAAGGCTTGCTGCTGTCAACGACATTCAAGTGCCAAATCTCTTATTTAACTATTGATAAATCTATCTACATAAAATATAACTTGTTTCCTATTCATTTTGTAAATTTGAAAATACATTTATCATTGTAGAGAGGAAAGAGAAAAAGGCGTTGTATTTATTAATTAAATCTAATATCATTTAGTATGACACCCATATATATATATATATATATATATATATATATATATATATATATATATATATATATATATATAAATTGCATTTATGAAAGAAATATGAAAAAAATTGCATTTATTGGAAAAGATTTCTGATAAAATCGTATTTTCCATTAATCAAGAATAAGTTAGTCCCAAATGTGTTCGATTGGGTTCAAATCTCGAGCAGGCCACACCAAGCACATAATTCCAATCTCATTTAGGTAGTCATCCACAATACATCCTCTATGGAGCCTCGCATTATCCTGCATTAGCAAGGATTTCTCACTGATGTGGGAGCAAATGGCACTACATATTCTTTGATTATGTCTTGTAACTCTGTGAAGGTAGAAATCTTTCTCGCACGACAACCAATTCGGTGCGGGCGTCCAAGGAAATGCCATCCCAGAACATCAGTGACTCATCGTGGAATGCTAATAAACAATACAGCGTGGGGCTTACCTTTCTCCAGAGCCTCTCCATATGAAATTATGCTCAATTGAAACAAACTCACCTCCACTGAAAAGGGAACTCGTTCACAGTCTGCCAATGCCCAATTGACATGTTCCCGTGCAAATTGAAGCCTGGCCATTTTATAGAGGTCCACGAGCCGGGTGACGGTCACTGAGGGAATTTTCATTGAGCCTTCTTCTTCCTGGAGGAAATCGAAGTATTTCGGACTTGTCTGAGAGTCAGATTATCCCATTTCCCGTAATGCTGGAGTTTTGTAGAGCGTGATGACGGATGAACCCATCGTCTCTCTCGTCTGTAGACCTAAGTCGATCCTGTACAGGCCTTCTAGTGTAAAGCCCTTTTCTCTTAAGCGCCGAAAAATCCGTTCCTATTGAAGAGTGATTACATTCAGGCTCCGGGCGATTTCGCGCCGGCTGTTTAATTCCTTTTATAAGTTATGATTCTGACACTATCATACTCACTCGAAGGCCTGACTGGAGTTATTGAAAAAGGTTTAAAAATAAGAATAACATCAATGAAGGAAAAATATTAACTTTAGGCGTAGCAGAATGGAAGGGCATAATGCTAATTTCTGTGCAAATTAATTAGTACAAAAGAAAATAAGGATGTAAACAAAGCAATACTTACAGTTTATTTTGACTACGATAGCTTTTAATTACTTGTAACTAATGTAGAAAGATAATGGATTTAATTTTAAACTAAATAAATTGAGTGATGCGTTAAATTTGTCCATCCATTGATATGACTATGGTTATCATACTAAATTATATTAGATGCTACAGAACTATATTTTAAATAAATATATTGTAACGAGATGTATATTTACTTTGGTGGATTTATTTAAAAAAAAAAAAAAATCGTTAGGTCACCATCGTGCTAAAAAATTATTATGATTTTTTTAAAACTATTATGAAACTAACCATTGATAAAACCAGCATAAATAGTCTAAAAGCGAGAAAAAACTCTTCAAAAGTTGGAGAAACGATTTAAAAAATGAAAAAAAAATTAATCACATTATAATGATATAAAAAGACGTTGTCGGATCAAATGATAAAATTAAGCGTTAATAATAATTTAAATTTATTTAAAAAAAATGAAGTCTACATAGGGTTTCATTTCAATAGCTGTGTTAAGCTTAATATAGATACTTTATATTGCGATGTTAATATTGTTTTAGAAGATATATTACGCAATTTAATGGTTTTTACTGCTTTACAGCAATCTAATTGTATTCTTTGAAATTAGCGAATTTAATTGGTCAAGCGGACCACAAAATTAGTGAATTTGTATTCTTTGAGTTGAAATCAATCCAAATTTCATACATACCGTCCGTAAGATGCAAGAACAGTTGCGTGAATGACAATTTCAATTGTTGACGCGACGTTCAATTTGCCAACCAAACAAACTATATTCAGACAATTGTTTTGGCTGAATGACATTGAGAACTTTGATTAAACATTTGGCCGGCTGAACAAAAAATATTCTATTATAAAGACAAGTTTGCCAAAGTTTACTATAGTAAAACTTACAGGTTTTGGAAAAAAGCACAACATAAGAACACTGATTTTTTTTGCCATTTTATTCCTAATAACAACTTTTACACATAAAGTAAATAAAAACAAATTAAATTTTGGATAGAAAATAAATGATTTTTTACTGTATCAAGCGATGTCATCTTGTGAAACCATCAAGTATTTTAACATTTATCCTCAGTTTGTCAGCATCAGAACAACCTTGGGCCTGATCCGCCGAGTCCCGTAGTACTTTTAATACTAATAATTGTAAGAAGTGAGATTTATATTGTTTCTTATACACTGTTCCTACCTTTAATTTACGTAATTAATGATATCAATTGTTAATAAATATTAGAGAAAATTATGAGTCACATTTACAAATTGATGTCTTATTTAAGCCCTAAATTTTTTATTTAATTAATTCAACCCTTTTAACAGTCATACCAATGTTTATTACGCGTTAGGGTGAATCCCCTTCACACGATGCAAAATGCGTATCCTTGCGAGTGTAAAATAAAAATAAGAAAAAATATTTATGCCACAAACTCAATTTAATTAAACGGAAAATACAAAAATTGGGACCTGATCCAAATAAATTATAACAAAACCTTTAAAAAAAATAAATGTATTCAGATTTGAAAAAAAATGTGATCTTTGACATACGCAACTAACTCCTTGCCATTTACATAAAAAGAGCAGGTGTCTTCAAACAAAATTCAGAGAGTCCTTCCTCGTCCTTTCGTAGCTCAGCTCGCACTGCCCGATCCTGCTGTAGGGGATTAGCTTATCCTTTGAGATAAGCTCCATTTAAAAATATTGTTATAATTTACAAATTGATGTCTTATTTAAGCCCTAAATTTTTTATTTAATTAATTCAACCCTTTTAACAGTCATACCCTGATCAACCGTCTAGTCTCGCTGTCTTCCTTCAAACTGTTCAATAGCACTCAACCAACCGAAGAAAACTTCATGATTTAAAGTTCATAATATTAAACGTGTTATTTAATAAAATAGGTTTAATACAGCGTTAAATATAGAGAGAAATTGTTACCACTTCATAAATATGTAATGCACTCATTTTCGACAATGCATGTATTACATTATAACATGAGCTCAACGTTTAAAGTTAGTTTATAAATGAATTTAAGCTTAATTCAGGGTGTGTTAGATAAATATATTAGTGGACAGAATGAGCGATAATTTTAATTTAAAAAAATCTTTTTTAATGAACAAAAATAGTTTTGGATCATGCTTTTCAATAATAATTTATATTTTTAATAAAAAACTAAAAGACTGGCAGTAATCTGTTTCATTATGAGAACATTTTAATACTTTTAAGATTATTTTATAACACTATATATATATTTTATAAACACTTCAATACAACCAAGTAGTGTACTTAATGACTTCATTTAATTAGAATCTTAACTTACATTACCTTAATAAAAAATTCTATTCTACTCTGCTCTTTTTGTTTGTTAATATAATTGTTTAACGCGTTTTCCCAATTGATTGAGAGTTGAATAAAAGGCAGAGCATTTCAGCATTAATATTCTGTACTATATAGAATTTTTTTTTATAACTTGGAACATTTTTTATTTTTTAACTTTGTGTATACATAGATAAGGTTATCAATGTAACGGTTATCTCGATCTGCTTTCAATTGATGAAGGTTTAGTGATATTTTTGACGGCTGACAGGATCAACGGAAGTTTCAAGGGGACGGCGAGAGTATGATGAGGTCTCACAAGACGATCAAAGGTTGTATTGATTGAGATTGTCAATTATAGGTTGGGGCTTAGACGATAAACGGAATGGGAAACACAACGAGAAGAGCCGTTTTGATATCCTGGAGCGTACGTGTCACTCAAACGTCAGTTTCGAGCTAAGCTAAAGGTTTATATCAAAAGCGTGCTTCCTTCCAAACGGGCCTGCTGTAATAAAAGCCGACTGTCACATAAAGCACGTGAGCGCCATGAATATCATTGTTCTCCCCAATTAAAGCCGTCACACGCTGAGATTTCGGCACATTCGATTGTTTAACGATAATTAGAAACTTTTGTCTTAATTTTCTTTTGACGGTTTTTTTTGTTCGAGCCGTTTAGGTTTGCCATTAATTTCACAACAATATCAAATATCCATCTATATGTCGTATTTTATTTATAACACTGCCGTATTTTTTACATTGCTGATTTTAGATTACTGCTTTATATAAGCTCACACCCACGCGTATATACGTACATGCTTCACTTTTCACTTCTTGTAGTCCACTGGCAACCCCAGCTTTTGTAATTTACAATAAATTACCGGCAGGCCTGAAGAATAACCCACCCCAGGCGTTGGCAGGCCGGGACCAGATTTTGGTCCAGCATTTCGATCCAATGACGTCCAGCCTCCGAGGTTGGGCTCCAGGGACTATCAAACGCAAGGTCATTTCAGCTCCAACGCTTGTAGTTCCGAGATCCAGACCCATTTACACTCCCACTCATTCTTAAATAAATTTTTTCCTATTTACATACCTCCCACCCGATTAGGATCGAGTACTCGATATTCCATCATCACCCTTTACACCTGTTATATAACTAACCTAATTGAAGGACGATGGGGTAGCCAATATTACGCCATTGGCCGGCCCTCTTACAGTACACATTTTGTCAATAAATACACTCACTCTCAACATAAATATAAGCCATAACACAAAACTATCACTACTATATACAATAAAACAACCGTTTTCTTCAAGAATCAGAACAGGGGATGCAGATATTTGCTGCCGTACTCAAGAACTATTCTCATATCGGGTGGCATTCCTACGCTCTCTCTATACGGAGCTAAGGAATTGCACCCGTCAATTAGTTGGTCGACATCGAACCTTCCTCTGCATGTCTGACACATACTCGGGTTTTGGCCGAAAAATAAGTGTTCATGTGTCAACCTCCAATGGCCCTTTCTTAAACGGGTTTTCGACATTGCAATCCAAGTATACGACATTTTGGCTGTATCGACAATAAAAATGAGGTGTTTCGGTAGCTGGCAATACTTATCAATTTCCTTTCGTTTTATGAAACTTTTCTTTACGCTTATCTTGGAAAGCTGCACTTTAGGCAAGTTGGAGGTGTATTTGGAAAAAATAATTTTTCTTTTTCTGTCGCTAATCTTCGTTATTAAGGTTCATAAAAACAGCGCTCCAAATTATTTTCGAATGACGATTGGATTGGTGTGGAGAGCAGTATGCAATAATTTATTAAAAGTGAGGATTAACTTTTTTTTTATTTGGTTTGTATTTTCTATTTCATTTTATCAACTAACAAGAATATATCGGCTAATTTAATTAAAATTAATAGAATAAGAATAAATTAGAAATATCCCTATTCATTTTTCAACAGTTTATATCAACTCCATGATTTATGGCAATTACTGAGGATTAATGGTTTTTTTTATGATCAACTGGTTGTCTTCCAGGAGAGGTTGTCTTCTGTAGAGAGAGAAAACTGACTAGGAATGAAGGCAGAAAATACTTTTTGTACAAAGTTTTGACGTTCATTCGCTCCCTGACATCGTGTAAGAAAAGTCTAACTTTCTCATCAATACAATGTACTTGTCTCCAGGCATCAGGGGTTGATGACAGGTATCAAAAGTCTATGATTGATTTGAAATTCGGCTTAATTGTTGTAGTGACAAGTAAACTGGTCAACTACAGAGATTTCGAGGAATAAAAGCAAAACAAAAGTCAAAATTAGAAAATTGCCTTAATCCACAGTGTACTAATACATATTTATCGTAATATTACACATTTTGGAATATTTTTAAGACAGAATTATTTATCTGTACAT